GAGGTGAAAAGCGAGAAACAAGAAACAAAGAGCGCATTGTAGAATAGGCTTTATAGTTGCGAAAGAACAAGAGTTTCAAGATGGAGGGGCAACACGTAGTGCGAGCGATCTCTCGATAATCGATATTTGAAATTCGAATACAGGCTGCGTGAACGTTTCGCACGCTCAAATTACGTTGAGATAATAAAGATATTCCCCTGCCGTTGCTATCGCCACGTTTACGACTAATACGTTCCTCCAGACTTCACACATACGAGAATATACTTACGTGTATATTATCGCCGCAGTCTCTAGTTCACTGCTTTGTAAACATTATTTATCCTTATTTAATATTTGATAAACAAAAAGGACGAAATGAATTCTTAAGCGTTATTAAAGTAAATCGAATCTTGGATTATAGGCCTGTTCTTTTTAGCTGAATTTGCACGATTTATCTTTTCTCTTTTTTTCTCTAACATGGAAAGAAAAGGAAGAAAGATGATCGTGCAAGAACTTAATTAAAAAGAACAGACTTTATGTTTATTCAGTTATCGTGTGCGCTCAGATAAAAGTAAGATTAGAAGACACAAAACTTCACGTACGATCGTGACTTATCGTTAGTATCCTTCTAGAACACACGGTTCAGTGTTGCATATCGTCTTGAAACACGAGGTACGATGGAATCCGCGGCGGTCTCGGTCTTGAAGCGAGCAGTGGAGATGGACAAAAAAGAACAATATACGATGGCGTTGGTGTTGTACCAGGAAGGCGTGCAGATACTCCTTGACGCGGTAAAAGGTATACTATATAGATCAATATAGATACCTTTTGCTTCTAGTTTGTTAAGAGAAAAAAAAAATTATATCAGCTTTATTATTACTGCTTTTATCAAAAAGTTCAAGATAATAAAACGATGCAGAGACGAAGGAAGCATTCAAGGTGGAATACCTCACGACCAAAGCGAGAGAGTATCTTGACAGAGCCGAGAAAGTGAAGAAGTTGATCAGTACGAGGAAATCAGCTGGTATATACACAGAACTGATTAAAATCGAGGACGGATCGACAGGGCATGGCTACGCGAGTGTCTTCGGCAGATTCTTGGATGTTACCGTCACTTCAATTGACATCGAAGATCCATATATACGAGCCTTCCACCAGGTGTGTGCTATTTGCATAAGCCCTGCAATACAATAGATGTAGTTAGTAAGCTTTAAATAATAACGGGGGCTCTACAATGAAAATTGTAGCGGTTTAAGTCATAGAAAATTAGCCAATCACAGTACAATATGAAAAGAATAAGCGACTATGATTGGTTAGTTTTCTACTTAAGATCCTACAACCGCTATGACTTCTATTGTAGATAGAGATAAAAATGACTTGATAAATTTACTTGATAAATTATGGTAAATTAGTCAGTAATTTTTGGAGACTGATGAAACGGTAATTTTAAAATTATAAAAAATAATTGGATGTAAAAGCATTTAGCCTTTAATTATTACATTCATCAAAACGCTTTATTTAACTCTAATATTTTCATTTTGATATTACATATTGGTATATAATTATATTGTATATGTAATATTATGTAATAATTATTCTTTAATTATATATTGAATATATAATAAAAACAAGACTAGGTACATGGTCTAAACTAAAGGAACTTCAAATAAGTTTGTTTTATTAGGAATCTGAAAAAACGTAACAAGTACAACAATCTTAAACTATTTTGTACATATTTTGATTTTTTAAATTTGTGTTTTTATATATTTTTTACTTAATAATTAAACTTATAAAGCTTTCATTTATTTGCTTGCTATTTTAGTGACTAGACTGTTAGAGACAGTTTTTATTAGAGTAAAACAGAGACACAATTATACATCAAAAATAAAATAATCTTTGCGTAATTGCACTATTGCTGGAATATCTAAATATAGAATAATTTTAAATAATTCGATAAGAAGCTAGATTTTAAAATATAAAACAAGGAATTTTAATCTTTGTTTTTTATTTTTTGATTACTGTATCAAATCTCTAGGGAACCATATATTGAAAACGGCATTGATTAGATTTCACGTTTAGATTTAGTGAATAGTCCTATTATTATTCTATCAGCGATTTTTACTTCCGACTGCTGCCAATCGAAGATTGGCGAAAACGAAAAGAGTATGCGATCTCATCAAGGCAGATCGGTGCTGATAATATCCATAACTACAATGTATTATATATTCTTATCAACTGTTGGCTACTGACTTCTTATTGACCAAGCATGGTTTATAGCATGTAATTATTATATTTTCGTTGAGAAGAATATTGTTTTATATTATGCATTAATGTGAAAAATATAAATAAAACCTATTTGTGTATAAAACAACAAATTTTGTCAAAAAATAAATATTATTTTAAATAAATTATTATTTTACCGTAATTTTACCGTAAGTAATTGTCAAATTAAATTTTACTGTAATTTTACACCTAATTGTAGAGATCCCATATAAGATATTGTCTAAAACAGTCGAATATAAGGAGAATAATCGACTATGATTGATTGATTTCTTACAGCTTAAAGTCTATTCTATGATATGCTTTTTGTTTCCTGTTTCTTGTTTTTTATCTTTTTTCTCCTTTGTAACCAACTTTTATCGACGATTGTATTTTTTGCTATGTATTTGTTGTTTCTTTTGAAGTTCGTTACCTTTTATCTCAGGCAATATAAAATAAAAAACTGGAAAAAAGCAAAAAGATAAGATGTAAAAAATTTCCAAAAAACAGAAAACAAAAAGCACATTGTAGAATAGGCTTATTACTATTTATTGTGTTTCGAAATTAATACGTGAATGTATAACGATACGTAATTTCATATATTGTGCTGATTCCTGTATTCTGTCTTCTTTCATAGTGTCAAAATCTGGTCAGACTATGTGAGCTGGCAGTTCAAAAGTGCTGTGCACTGGCCAAGATATCCCTGCTTACGACTTACAATGCGAAAGAAGCTAGCCAAATCTCCAGATTGGCCGAGCTGAAAGAAAGTTTGGCGTCTCGTAATATTTCTTTTGACTTCTCTTTCTCCGAGACGTTACACGACAGACAAATCACGTAAGGCTACAATACAATTATTACATTCTAAAAATTTATTTCGAATTTATCAATTATCTTTCTTTTTATTTTAGATTGAACAACGGATGGGTGATAAAAATCGGGCGTGGATTGGACTATTTTAAAACGCCAGAAGGTAAATTCGTT